TCTTTACTTTCCAATCTATACAACAAAAATGCCAAAAATATTTACTTTACTATCTCTATTAGATCTCACTTTTGCGAGTGACCGTGAAGGGATTGACGACCTCTTTATCGCGTTGGTTGCTAGGTTCTTGATTGTTTCTGCAGGTACTAGGTGACTTGTGCGTCGTCTCCTACTAGATTGATACATTGGTTCTCAAAACTGAGGGAAATATTTACGCTACTTTGCTGCATCACCCTTTCCTCTTCAAGGGAAAACCAACGGATGCTCAAGAGGTAGCACAACCTTGCCTATCCCACCATGGCTTACGCCCACAAAGGACTAGCCTCACTAGGGATAGATCTTCACGGACGAAGTAGGTGATCTCCCTACCCTTAAAAACTTATTGGTTTCTCCACATGATTTGAAGACTCCCAAGCACACCTAGCCAATTTAGGTGGCACAACCCTCAAAAAGGTAATAGGTGGGGTTGTTGATGTTGAACTCCTTGCTCTCGTGCTTCAAAAGATAATCTCCTCATCACTGAAACACTCTCTCACAGATTGTGCCTTTGGGTTAGGAGAGGGTTTGGGTGGAAAGTAATTAGGTGACTAAAAATCAAAGGTTATATGGTTCGAGTGGAATCCTTTTGATCTCAACACAAGGATCGGGAGCTCTCTCTCAGAAATATGGATATGGAATGTGTATGCTTCGCTCTGGTTGATCTCTGATAGTGGTGGAGTGGGTCGGGTACATATTGACATCACTAAAAATCCAATCGCCGCACACCTTTATGCACTACTCGGTGGGACCGAAACTACTCGGTGAGACCGATCGGTACAAAATGTTTGGACTTTAGCGTTTTGGTGAGACCGGGTGAAAACGTCGGTGGCTCCGAGTTGTGATGACCTAATCACTTTCCCCACTTCGGTGTTAGCAACTGAAACCGTTAGAAAATTTTGAATGAATTTCAGTTGGCAACATAAGGTTGGCAAGTGTTCTTCGTTGGAACTGGAGTTCTAGGGTTTAGGAAATGGCTTATCATGAATGGCTCTATGACTCAGGGTGTATCTGTTTCGGTGAGTCCAAGTTTCACTTAAGGTTTGTGACACAGTGGAATATGAGAATTTGAATGAGGCTTTTGGAGATTGATCTCTAAGCACTTGAGCAGTGCATCCATTATCATCAACCCCATCCCCTTTTTGATACTATTGGCATACATATGGACTAAATGTAATCTTGGATCACTTAAACATAAAATGAAGTCTTGAGGTTTGCCCAAAACTTGTCCTTAGTATCTTCAGGGGTCCGCATTCACTTCCCAAAATTGTCCCTAGGTTGAACTTATCCTGAAATATACTCAAGGAAAACATTAGTTCAACAATATGTATGCTGAAATGAATTACCAAAACCACAAGGGAGTGGATGTGCCGCGAGTGGCCACCTCGACGATGCAATTTTAAAAAAGGTATGTCTCTATTTCTCTTTTTTTATACCATCACCATTCACTTTGTATCAATGGCCAACAATTAGATCAATGATACAAGACATAGTTTTACTACATGAATTCATGTTGTTTGTCCAATAAATGTGTGATTTTGTGTTACATAAAATAGTGACAATTATATTCACATGTAAAAGCATTGTGATTTTATAATCATTGACTATTGTATAGAATTTACACATAAAGTAAGTATGTTTTTTTGGGAAGAAAGGGTGTAATAATGCATTAGTTACTTGTGTGGGAAGTACATACGTTTTTCATCAATATTCACAAAAGATGTTCATAGTAGAACTTAAAATGACACATCAAGATTATAATCAGTTCAGAACGACTTCATGTCCACCCGAGTTCGGTTGACGCTTTCAAAAAGTATTAAAAAACTAAGAAGAAATTAGCACATAAATATAACATGAATTTGGTATGTCACAAAAATTCATCATAGCTCGAAAAACAAAATTGGCAATTTTTTTAGTGAAAAGCGGCGATGAGCCAAACATAAAAGCCCATGCATTAGGTACTATTCATTATAGAATTTTTCAATTAAATTTCAAGGCCGCGATAACCACCCAGCCACCTCCTTCGGACGTGACTGATTACCTTCTTTTTGGTTGATTTACTTACTGTTTTTTCTAATGACTTTGTTTGGTTTTTCTTTTTACGTTTCCCCCTTTTTCTTATTGTTTATTCTTACTCTTTTTGACAAATGATAAATGTAAAATTGATGAACTATTTACAATTCATGAACTTTTTTCAAGTTTGTGAACTTTTTTCAAAATTGATGAACTATTTTTTTCAAATTAGTGAACTATTTTTAAAAATCTGAGAACTTTTTAAAAGATTTTGAACCTCTTTTTCAGTCACCGTGAACTTTTTTCAAAATTTATGAACCCCTTTTCCATTTCGTGATTTTTTTTGTATTCACAATGTATTTTCGATTTTTAAAAAAATGTCAACGGTAGTGAAACAGGGCCGCCCTGTTTGTAGGGTTCCGAGTAGTCCACTCCCATGTCTGGGCGCATGGAGACCCCTTTTTCCATTCGTGTTTTTTGATTTTATTTTAACTTCTAAATATGCCCGGGTTTTGAAAATAAACCGTTCTCCTGAATTTTAATTTTTTTATCGATTTTAAAAGTTAATTATTTGAAAATTGTTCTAGGATTTTAAAAAATTGATTTTAAAAATGATTATGAATTTTGAAAGAACGATATTATTATTCACGAATGTAAAAATGTTCCTAATTTATAAAAAATGTGCATTAAAAAGACATATTCAAAAAATGTTCACGAATTTAAAAAGACATATTCAAAAAATGTTCATGACTTTAAAAATGTGAGTTCGATTTTTTGATGAATTTCAGAAAATGTTCGCGAGTTGAAAAAATGTTCATGAATTAAAAAAAAGGTTCACGAATTCATGACTTTGATTTTGAAAAGCTTCATGAATTCATGATCTTGAAAAAAAATCGCGAATTCAAATAAAATTGTGAATTCATGATTTTGTAAAAAATCACGGATTTGAATAAATGTTTGTGAATTCAAAAGATATTCATAGTTTCAAATTGTTTTCATGAATTTGGAAAATATGCACGCGAGATAGAAAACATAAATGAAAAAACCAGAAAAAAGAAACAAGAGAATAATACATAAAACCCGTCCTAGGAAGGTTCAAATCTCCCGTAGAAGCCTACTTGGCTTGGCCCAATATAAAAACGTAGCAATCGCAAGTCGTATGCTATTGGTCGCTACCCAGCGATCTGCACGATAAATAGTAAGCGCCTAAAATATCTCCACTGGTGTTGCGAATTGTGATTTGTATTTTTGCGACGTAGCATTAGATACCAGTATTATCTATGCCATTGTATTTCTTTCGGTTTTTTACCCCTAAAAAATTCTCATTTTTTTTAATAAACCGATGCAATGCACCGGGTGCACACAAAGTCCCGGTCCACCAGATAACAACAGCTTTGATACCCACCAATCCTGCAGCATGCACGTAGACTCATTATGGCTCCTTCGGTCCACATGATTTTAAAACGCAGGAATAGAAAAAACATATGAACAGTGATATTGCTATTCAGTAGTACTAGTATGTCTCTGAAATGTGACTAGCAGCAGGCAGCATTGAGTGCTGACGCGACTGAGCACCATCTACGCCTTTACATCATTGTGTTCTCTAAACTTTTCCGCGCAACTTTCCTGGCAATAATTGGGTCCATTGATAGAGTGGTCAGGAACTGACAGTCCTTCTCAGGCTCAGACCAGATGCATGACATGCCATCGGATCACCATAATCTGTTTGCTGGCTGGGAGATGCCATCAGAGATTCAGAGTTGGACAAGAGTCAGAGAGATGGTGCCCAACACTCACCCAATCCTGTGTGCCATGGCAATCAACATCAGCGCTCGTCTAGAGTCCACCATTCAACTCCCATCTGATGTGTTTGCGCACCCTAATCATGCAGCATTTGGACTTGTATGTGTTCGTGAACTGTTCATGATCATGTCGGCAGTAATATTGTTCGGTTCAAGAATTGCCACGACAAAAGCGCATCGGCAGAAATTCTTCAGATAAACACAAGAAGAAGAAAATTTCTGAGATAAAACACATGTAAAAGAAGCTAGGATTGAACATAAACATGGTGGGTTCATTATATCTGTCTGATCCAGTTACACAGATGATTCGACAAATTTCGAGCACTATGTATTACCAAAAACTCTTGATTATTCCGCAAGCTCGCCAGGTCCAACGAAGGTGGGAAATGGAGATGGGAGGAAGAGATTGCTTCTGGGAAGAACTCTATACATGTGCACTCAAAGCATCCTTATTCCAGGAAGCTGCCTTCAGTATGAACTTGCAGGACTTCAGTTGCTGGGCTTCTGCTCTGCACCTGATGATGCCTGAAAAGGGTAAAGAAGTAACGCATTCAGATATGGTTGGTATGAAATTCAGGTCGCTCAACAGCAATGCCAATTAAATGATGTGAAAAATCCAGAAAAAGAGCGAATGCTCTTGTCGCGTGCTAGGATTGACAGCTCTGAAAATGAATACTTACCCCAACTGATGTGACGAAACTGCAGACTGCACATTTGACGGACCTCGCGCCATACTGGTACATGAGCAGCATTCGGCAACTCCCGCAGTTTACATGCGCAACCTGATTCGCTGCGGCCAAGCACAAGATAGAATTTGTCATTCAGAGTATTTGAGACTTGATGAGCACACATCAACTCTATGCACTCATCCTTCTGAGTTCTTAGAACCTGTGGAGCATCTTCAGAAGTCAGGACCCAATGCTTAGTGGTATCTTTCAATCTTTGTGTTTGTGAATCGTTCAGTAGTAACTGTAGGACATGTTTGTCAGACTTATGGTAAAACTAGGAGAGATATTCATCAAACTTTTGGTAGATCCGGGAGATCCTTGTCAAACCTTTTGTTTTCTGCATCACAACAAATGCATACATCCTACTGTCCAATTTTGATGAGTGCGACTTCAGGATAAGCCAATTTTACGATGTTAACGGTTATCGACTGATTGCTAGAGCTTTTCCAACCTCAGAATACATTCTGCTCAGAAGGAGGGTTTTGCATACACGAATCAATGTCAACATCGTTTCGAAAAGGGAATCAAAACCAGCAGCATATACCACTTGCAACCCAGGAAGAGAGAGAGAAATAAAAGCTTTGGTCGATATACCTTCCATTGCCAGGTTGACAGTGTGGCAGCAAGAACACTGTACACTTGTGGCGCCGCGTATGTACATGAGAAGAGTGTGGCATCCCCCGCAAACTAGCTGCGCCATCTCAGTCCCTACACCGAATCAGGGTGGAAAATATATTCAGAGAACTGCACTTGAGGATAGTTTCCAGCTAATGTAACTTGTCACAGTCGATTAGAATGCACACTACTGTCTTCTATACTAGTAATAATGTTGTAAATATGGAACTCAATGTTGAGCTGCCACATTACTTACAAATCTTTGATGAGCAAAATGAGATTGATGTGCATACCGGGAGCCGGAACAGCGGTCACGGTACTGCAAACTGCGCAGCAGACCGACGTTGCGCCGGCAGGATACATGAGCAGATTCCGGCACCCGGAGCAGACAAGTTGGCTTTGAGCCCCTGAAATTGCACGAGCATGAAACCATAGTTATGAAATTTCAGTGGCTGAAGCTCACCTACTAGTAACCAAAAGTTACATCTCAGAAAAGCATTGCAACGGCAAAATCAGCAGAGAAACATCTATGGCTTAATTGATAGTGTATCTTGGGCTTAATCTGTTCTACCAGAACTTCGGAGACAAAAATAGCAGATGAAAAATCAGCTCCTATAGACTTTTTAGTCCAGAAATCATGAAGAAGCCAGAACGTTATGCCGTTAACATCTTGGTTTTCTGGGTAGCTAAGAAACATCAATCAAATAATAGTTTCTCAAAAACCAAAAAAGGGGAACATCAAAGGATTGCCAAAGCCGTCTCCGTTCTTGCAGTACCCAGCCGGCGACCATACCTGCATTGGGAGCGGGTGGTGTGAAGGGCACAGGAGGGGTTGGGTAAGGGGCAAGAGGAACCGGCATTGCCGTGCCCGCGGCTGCCTGAACCGGCGTCGCCGTTGCTGCCGACTGGACTTCGCACGCTCCGGTGGGAATCGAGGGCTGGGAACAGGTTGCCCTCCCCTACATGAAACCCTGCAGAAAGCGTAGGAGATTCTGGTGAGAACGCTTCAACTTTACAGGGAAAAGGCGTACTAGGAATCATCAAGATCATAGCAAGGCAGAGTACAGTTGAGGCGCTTATGTATGCCTGACGGCAAATCGAGCGTCAAGCAAGGAATCAGACAGACGGAGAGTCGCCTTCACGCACTCGTCGCGGGGCGCCGAATCACCTGCTCGTTGCTGGACTGTGCTATGCCGCCACCGACGCTCGTCGCCGCCGTCGAGCACGAGGAAGAAGGCGGCTCGCGCTTGCCCGGTTCAGAAGAAGAGACGGATCCGCATGGCGCCACCCCGGGCAGACGAACGCCTCCGGCTCGGCTCGCGTTGCTTCGCTCGATCTGGTGCAGATTTCGAGACGAATAAGTTTGCTCAGTATAACAACATGAGTTGGAGGGAATGCGGCAGATAAGGTATAAAGCACGATACCGCTGTGGTCGAGAACGTGGGCTCTCTCTCTCTCTCATCCGCCTATGCCATGTGGGCCCCGTCCGAACTCATTATGCTATCATGTTTCGTGTAATTTTCGTTTTTAGAAATCACCGTGAACAATTATTTACGTAGTAGTACATGTTATTTTAGAACAAAAATAAGCAAGAAATTTGAGATAAACATGTTTATCTCTTCCAAGATCATGCCGGGTACTCTACTGAGAGTTCTTGTGTTTCCTCATTTCCCGTCTAACAAATGGGCTGGCTGTGAAAATTTGTGTGTTTTTCATGTGAACTTTTATCATATTTCTATGTTTTTTGTTGTTCCCGACCCCGCGTTTCCAAACTGGCCTAAGAGGAGGGGCATCACCAAGCACCGATGCTTATGGCCCAATCCTATGATTAGTTGGTGCATGCATAAAAGCAAGGGACTCATCAGTTGGCACATTTTTTTTTAACCCAACACCGTAGAACAAAATGTTCTACGCTAAATCAATTAAAGCAAAATATAGTACAAAAAGTTACAAATTCCAAAAGAATAAAGATTATAAGCTAGCCAATGCCTGCTCTAGGAATGGAACCCATGATTACAGATTATGTTCTATCCACTGTGAAAAGCGAACTGCAAACTTTTGCTTGATCTTATGTCGAAGTAGCTTAAGATCATTCTTGAGGTGGTATCTCCAAGACTGAATTGAATGAGGAAGTGCTCTGAACACAAAGTTATTTCGCTGAATCCAAATGTTCCAACAACCCAAAATAAGGATTTCGACAGCAAATTGTTTTGGAAGGAGCTGCGTGGCCAAGATGGTGTCCTCATAAACAGAAGTTCCTCTTCGTCTGTTTGGAATCAGAGAGTTCCATCAGTCTTGCGCAAAACTGCAATCCCACAATAAATGCATAGGAGTTTCTTCTGCTTGCTGATTACAGTTAGGGCAAAAGGTATCATCAAGGTGCATGCCTTTCCTTAGAAGAAGAGCCCTAGTGTTGATTCGACAGTGAGCTACCAACCAAAAAAAGATTTTATGCTTTAGCCTGCTGGAGCTATCCCAAATGAGACTGAACAACGGATGCTCCTCATGATTGTCCAGAAGCAAATTATAGATCGGAATTGAAGAGGGCCTGCCAGAAGCACCAATAATGTTCCACCTATCTTTAACTTGTGGGTCTAAGGTCGGAGCCAAAGAGGGGAGCTGGTTGAATTCTTCAAATGCTACTACAGAGAGAGGTAAATGGAACTGATCAATCCAATTTTCCTCCTGAAAGAAACTTAGTACCGATTGATCCTCATGAAGGGCAAAGGAGTGAAGGTGAGGGAGCAAAGATTGGAGCTGCTGTTCCAACCAAGTATCTGACCAACAGAGAATAGATTGTCCTGACCCAATGGAGCATTTGCTGATTTGTTTGAATCTCTCCGGGAGAGCAATATGAGACTTCCACCAGAAAGAGCCTTCAACTTTCCGTCTTGGCAGTTCAGTGTGGTAATATTTCTCCCAGATCAAATTAATCCAAGGTATATCCTCCTTATTGAGAAATTTAAGCAGATTTTTCATTAGTAGTGCCTTGTTGTGAATAGAGATATCAAGTATTCCAAGTCCTCCTTGCTTTTTTGGCCTACAAACCTTGGACCAAGCAATAAGTGCAGTTCCTCTATCCTCCATACCAAATTTCCTCCAAAGGAAATTTCTCAAGTACTTGTTGATTAACTGTAAGACACCAACTGGGAGAGCTAGAGAGCTCATGAAGAAAATTGGCAGAGATGCAAAAACTGATTTTATAAGCAAAAGCCTGCCATCATAAGATAACATAGTGGAGCAGCCAGAAAGCCTTCTTTCAATTCTTTGCATCATTGGGTTAAAATCTTCAATTTTTGGTTTTGTTGTGCCAAGAGGGAGACCTAAATAGGTGAAAGGAAAATGACCTTGCTGGCAGCCCAAAACATTAAGCAAAGAGTGAAGCTGTGTGATTGGTACATTTAGTGGCACCAAGAAGGATTTCTCATAATTCACTCTCAGACCTGTGAAAGCAGAATAATGAAGGAGGAGATTTTTGACTTGCTCAATTTGTCTCATATCAGCTGGCAGGACTAAGATGGTATCATCAGCAAACTGAATCACTGGGAAGTCAGGGCAAGCTTGACTAACAATAGGAGGAAGAATCAGCTGATTTTGCATAGCTTCATTGAGGGTGGATTGGAGTAGGTCAGCAGCCAACACAAATAGCAAAGGAGAGACATGGTCACCTTGTCTAACCCCTTGATTGCAATGAAAGAATTTTCCTGGCACCCCATTAAGCAACACTGAAGAAGTACCAGAGGAAAGGAGCATGGAGGTCCAATTCATCCATCTATCTCCAAAACCTCTTGCTTTGAGAATTGCAAGAATAGCTTGATGGTTCAGAAGATCAAAAGCCTTTTCAAAGTCTAGCTTGAGGAGAACAACGGGCAATTTAGACTGCTGACACTGATGTAAGTACTCATAAGCCCATCCTAGACAGTCATTAATGGTTCTGCTCTTAATAAATCCATACTGATTGACATGAACCAAATTGAGAATAACTGTCTGAAGTCTATTGGCCAGCAACTTGGAAATGATCTTGATGGAGCAATTGAGAAGTGAAATTGGTTTGAAATCATTTGCTCTGACAGGATTGTCCTTTTTGGGAATTAGAGTGATGAAGGAAGCATTGATACTTTGCAGAGAAATATTTCCATGATAGAAATCATTAATCAGTCTGTAGAAATCTTCAGCAATGATGCTCCAACAAGCTTTAATGAAATCTCCATTGAATCCATCAGGACCAGGTGCTTTATCAGAAGGAAGATCCTTGACCACAGAGTCAATTTCCTGTTTTGAGAAAGGAGCATCTAAATCTTCTAAACCATCAACTCTGTGAATAAGTCTTATTAGATTAAGATGGTCAGACATCTCACTTGAATTACCCAACCTTTCTTTGAAAGCTGACCAAAGAACTGCAGCCTTAGCATGATGCTCTGTTACTTCTACCCCCTGATCATTCATAAGAGTTTGAATGAAGTTATGCCTGTATTTGATGGTAGCTTTAGCCTGAAAGAATTTTGAATTCTCATCTCCAAACTTTACCCATCTAATTGTTGCTCTCTGTCTCCAGTAAATGCTTTGAAAAGACAACAACCTCAAGAGATGCTCTTTCAAGATTTCTCTGCCATTTTGTTCCATATCTGATAGTATTCTAAATTTCCTCAAAATAATCCCACATCAAGATTACACTATTTGTGGCCTGAATGCTGAGTGCAAGGTTGGAAATGCCCTTACTCCAAAACTTTAGACTTTTCCTAAGCCTTTTAAACTTTGCAGTGATGAGTTTGGCAGAATTAGTGGCTTGAATGGGTTGGTGCCAGCTGGACTTTACTACTTCTTGGAAATCTGGAAGTTGAAGCCAAAAGTTCTCAAACCTGAATACTTTTGCTTTGGGGATAGAAGTACCAATTTGGATCACAAATGGGAAATGATCAGAAATAGGCTTGGCCAAGGGAAAGGACAAGGTATTTGGGTATTGAGAGGACCAGTTTTCAGATGTGAATACCCAATCAATTTTTTCTAACAAAGGTGCTTGCTGCATGTTACTCCAAGTAAAACTTCTTCCCTTCAAAGGAATTTCTACCAAAGCTAATTGACTGATTGCAGCATTGAAATCCATCATATTGTTTATATTCCCAGCACCATCATTTCTATTGGAAGGATATCTAATATAATTAAAATCCCCAGAAATCAGCCAGTTTGTTTCCACAGGCATCTGAATGTTTTTGAACCAGTCCAGAAATAAATGTCTCCCTTCCTCATCACAGGGACCATAAATATTAGTTAGGATCCATGATTCTCCTGTGTGCACTGAAATAAACCTCATTGAAAGAGAGAAATCATTTTTAAACAGACATTCTCCTTGAAACATAGCATCACTCCAAGCCACAAGCAGACCCCCAGAAGCCCCTATAGAGGGTGAGAACTCAAATTTATTGATTCTTTTTGGGGCAAATTTTCTTAAATAAGAGATGTCAAAAACTTCTCTTCTGGTTTCTTGCAGACAGATAACTGAGCACTGTGATTCTTCAATTTTATTAGAAATTGCAAGCCACTTATCACTGGAGTTTATACCTCTCACATTCCAGTTTAAAATATTCCAGGATCTATTCATTGCAGAAACACGCAGGCATACAGCAGGAACCACCACTGAGCAGGAATTTTTAAAATGGTCCAAAGACTCAAACTAAGACAGGCCCACAGATTGAAGGTTCTCATAAAAGTCCAGGGAACAGAGATTGAATTTATTACAGTAAAGATGAACTGAAATTTCAGTAGCAAGGACCCTAGACAAAAGGACCTAATTTGATCCAAAAGAAGGGCAGCTTCAAGAACTCCCCACAGTGCTTCCCAAGGCTTCAGTCCTTCCATGCTG